GAAGCCAGTGGAAAGGTTGATTCTCATATTTGTTGCATATTTTTACTTATTTCTAAAATATGGTATTTGAAGCCATAAACTTTCAAGGAAAACTGGCAACCGTTTTTTTTTTTTTTTCTTTTCTTTTCAGAGTTTCCAGTCACTTTCATCTGAAAAAACAACAACAAAGAAATTAGCGGTAATTGCTCTGAAAACAGGAAGCAAACTTATGAGTAATATTGAAGAGCGAACGCTGCTAAATAAAGCTCATATACCACAGAGAAAAAGACACAAAGAAAATACTTTTGCATCCTTTTAGTAAAGAATGAAACATACAGAGATAAAATACCAAGGTAGCATGTGTTGAAGTAAAAAATACTTAATTCAAAGGCCTCGTTTTAATGGCTCATCAATTAAAGATGGCATGATGTAGCACAGCTGCTTCTTCTGTCAATTGCATTAATATTAGCTGCTTTCGTATCTAATGATTGCTAGCAGATTATCTTAAAAGGTGTGCCAACTATTCCCTGATTGCGTAATTTTCCTTTATGTATCCTCCCTTGTTTCAGAAATCTTCCCACTTTTTGATCCTTTGTCAGCAGGCTGCATTTCAGGGATCTGAGCATCCTTAAACATTTCTGTCACATGTAGACATATTTCCTCTGTCTTTATTTTTTGTGCCACACTTAATAAGATCATGAAATAAATTGTTGTTGTATGTCAGATAAAGACAGCCTGGGTAAATACAATAAAAGTCTGTTTCATGCTCTGATTTTATGTACTAAGGGGGAAAAAAAAAAAGATTTTCAAAACAACCCAGTTCTATGGAACAAAGTAATTGCAACAAACTAACTAGACCCTAGTCTAATTACATGTTGCCCCCCTTGGTCAGAACAACTGCCAAATAAGCAGTTGTGAAAACTATTAATGAGTCTTTCACCTTGTTGTGATTGAATTTTTTCTAAGTCTTCTTTGCAGAATTATTCAGTTCAGTCACAATGGAGCGATGGTGCAGGATAGTCATGCCATAGCAGCTCAGTTGCATTTAAATATGGACAGTGACTAATACTGCTCCGAAATTGATCTTTTTTTCTTTTCTTCATATTTGCCGCTCATAGGTTGACTTGCTGGCCTGTATGGGTCATATTCTGATCATAAGCTGATGTTCAGGCATTCTCGTTAGGATGTGCTTGAATATGTGAACAAACAGCCTCTTCAGCAGTTACCTTATATGGCTTACCCTCCTTGTGAATGGTGTTGGTGACTGTCTTCTGGACATCTGTCCAGTCAGCAGTCTTCCCCATGAACGTGTACCCGACTGACCCGGAGTGAGAGTCCATTTAAAGGCTCAGGAAACCTTTGAGTCAATTAGCTGATTATAGTGGGACACCATTCGATTCCAGTAATGACCTTCTCAAGAGTATTCTAATTTTCTGAGACAGAATTTTGGGTTCTCATGATCTGTAAACCATTATCAACAACAAACAAGAAGCATAGGCTAAAAATACATTATTTTATGTGGCTATTCCATATAATAAAGTTTCATTTTCTGAGATCACTGGCAAAAAATATTCCACTTACATTGAATATAATTTTTTTTAGACATTCTACTACTATGTACAGCAGGGCTGACTACCTGAAGGGAAAAAAATGAGTGAGCAGAGATTAGAGTTTGGGTCAAGTGTGAATGGGCAAGTGGGAAAGAATGACAAGGAAGAAGAAGAAAGATAAATTAATATTCCTTAACATGATGCTTTAAAGTCAGATCAGTGTTTGTGGAAACAGAAATTTCAAAATGAAGAGTATCAGTCCAGCGATACGCACAGCAGCTCAGGAGGCGTAAGCCGAAAATACTGGTATCAAGGGAAATCCCACTTTGCAGTTGGAAACCCACCAGTGTGTGGAAGAAGACGGAGGCGTGTTGTGGTATATCTGTTTCAGGAAAGTTGTGCTCCGAGTCGTTGTGGTGCTGACTGATCGGATGTGTCTGTACCCATCAGATCAGTGTTGTCTCGCTGCGTGGAAGCTGTCCGTTTTGGCTTTTTTATCCAGTGCCATCCATCAGAGAAAGATTACGTTATTATGCTGTTCCTGCATGGGTCACAGTCTGCTGACTGCTTTCAGATTCGAATAACTATAATGCTAGAAATAAATATTGCCGTCTCATTTTATATATAAAAAAAAATTAATACTTGTGACTCAGTCTGAACATTTATTTTATGAAGTATTTCAGAGAGAAAACAGCAGAAAAGGAAAAAGGAAGCTGAACAGACAACAAAGAAACTCATTGAAATCTGTCTGTCTGGAAAGATTTACAAAGACAGTTGTAGTCCTTTTGGACTCCAGAAAACCACTGCAAAGTCATTATCCACAAATGGAGAAAACATGGAACAGTAATGAGCCTTCCCAAATTGCTCTTAAGAATTCATCGGTGACTGAACCAGGGATCTCAAAAGAACCCAAAACAACTTCTAAAGCACTACAGGCCTCATTTACGCCAGATAACTTCAGTGTTAATGATTAAATAATAAAAAATTGGGAAAATTATTGTGAAAGTGCATGCCAGGCCACACACAGAATAAAATTCTTGTGGGGTCTAAATGGCCCGTCTCTTAAGACTTCCTGGGTGGGTTAAACCTGCTGTTCATGGCAAAAAACCCTGGACCAAAATTTCCTTACGAAGATTTAAAAGATTCACTATCAGTTCCTGCATGACCAATTATTAGGTTTAGATTGAATAGCTTTTGTTCTCCCTTGAAATGCTCCTTTTATAAAGCGCATTTTGTAATTAATAAATTACGGAAATACCAAAAACACATCACACAGCATGATAGCAGCAAAAGTGTGATGATATTGATTAATTTCATTGTATGCCATGCAGTCTCTCTCTCTGCACAGAAAAAAGATATGCTTACCTCAGCAGCTTTTAAGAAGGAACTGTGATAGGTGGCATTATTTAAAACAAACATGAAATCACTCAGGTGGTCACTTTCTGTCGTTGATGTAAACTACTGTTTGGATTGTTTTACACTTTAAAACTCCACAATTGTGCCTAGTCCCAGTGTAAAATGAAGGTTTCTCATTTTTTCATTGGATGTAACTAGAGTCCAACACTGATTGAGTTGTTCTTAGACTGCCAGTGTATATTAAAATGCAGCTTCTGCGGCAGGAGGAATTTGAATCTTCTTGTGGAAGACTTTATAAGAGCCACATTGGGTTAAAAGTGTCAGTATGCACACTTTAAACATGAAGCTTTGAGTGAAAAATACATGTAACTTGTAATATATGGGAACCTGAGCATATCTGCTTTAGCATTCACATACTCTTTTATTAAATTGGATCCCATGCAATGTTTTATGTAATTTCAAGGATTAGACTTAGAAATTCATTAGGTTCCAGCTCTGAGAACGAGGCCCTATTTCCATCTCCTATATCAGACTGCGAATTTGATAAAGTATGAAAATATGATTCATTTATTCAAGAACTGTGCGCTGCGGCTTTATGTGGTTCTTAATGAGTAATCTTCCATACTCTGTGGGAATCTTTAATAAGTGCCATTTAATGAATGAAACACGTTGTGTGGCAAATCATTAACTTTGAAAGCACCCCTGATTGCTTTTGAAGGATTACAACGCTTTTCTTTGATTTAAATGGGTTGCGTTCATTTTTCTGGAATTATCTTTGTATTTAAGGGATAAACTCTAGATTAGAAAAGTGCCATAAATAAAAAAAAACAAATATTTTCTTCTTTAGTCATTTGAAATGTTTACCTCTGTGCTACGGTAGCTGGCATTTGGAGGGGTTCAGGTGAAACCAGACAAATGGCAGTTATTTGATGCCAGCGTTGTCACATCTCTTATCTTTTTTCGATAGAGATCAATCATGACAGCGGGAAGAGACAGATGATTCCTCCCCTGGCGGCCAAATTGTCCCCTTGCATGTGCTCACTTTTGTGACAGTGTCTGAACATTTGCCTCATCATACATCAAACCACTAAACCGTTTGGATTGACAGCACTTTTCAAGCGGAGAACACACACACCAATCACGGCAACAGAGGCAACAGCCGACGCAGACTTTCACTTTGACTTGGAGAATCCTCAGAATTGCCTACTGAAGGATTGATGTAAACCGTCTTTAGCAGTGTGAAATGATATCTTCAGATCAGTTAGACGTTCAAGGACTTGAGTGGTGCAGTTGCCAAAAGGATTAACAGGTGGGAAAATGTCAGTACATTTTACATTTAATACTAGTTAAGTGATTAAATGTACTTTAAATCATCTGTTTTTCATCGTCAGAGTTAAAATTAAAGTAAAATGTACTGTGTTGTGAAAAAGTAATTGCCCTTCACTGATTTATTGTGTTTTTGTTTTGTTGTCTTGCCTAAATATTTCAGGTCCTCAAACCAATTCAAGTACTAGCCTAGTCATTCAGACCAATATCAGACAAAGGTATCCAAACTAATGAACCCATATGTAAAAAACAAATAATATACAAGCTTATAGTCCTGTCATCTATAATGGAGGGTTGAACCCTTTTAGTTTCACATCTTTTTACACCACGCTTTTCTTCCACTCAACTTTCCGTTAATATGCTAGGATGCAGCACTTAGTGATTAGTTTTTGTAGCTAATCTTCATTGTGTAAGGTGTAAATGACTGTTGGACAGCTGACACAGGAAAGAATGAGCTGAGCAGCGTTTCTGAAAGAAAAAAAAAATGATATTCATCTTAAATAATATTCTATTATACAAAATGAACAAACTTGCAATAATACTATGTAAGCTATGTACAAGTTTCCTATTTTAATGAATGGAATATTTTGATGATGTTCAAATTGATTATAACTCACTTTAAATGTTTCATAAAGGATGGATCCCTCACTAATCATAGAAGAATACCGAGATGAGATTTGAGAAAAACAAAAGTTTCCCACTCTTATCATCACCATCTTCTCTCTCTCTCTCTCTCTCTCTCTCTCTCTCTCTCTCTCTCTCTCTCTCTCTGTCTCACTCACTTTGCAGGTGTCATAAGGACAGCTTTACCCAACATGGACCGGGAGACGAAAGACCAGTATGTGCTGGTCATTCAGGCCAAAGACATGGTGGGCCAAATGGGCGGCCTCTCCGGCACCACCTCTGTCACGGTCACTCTCACCGATGTCAACGACAACCCACCTCGGTTCGCTCACAGTAAGAGACCTCTTTCTGACTGCCTCCACAGAGCTGATTGAGTTTTTACATGTTCAGCAGCTACTTAGCAATCAGACTAAAACCTCCACATCTTTTTCTTCTTTTTTTTTTTTTCCCACTGGTTTTGATCTCTAGGTTGAATGCAGCTCTTAAGATGTACTATCACTGCAAGACCACTTGAACTAAGAGAAGTGAATAAGGGCACTCGATCAACATAGTAAAAATAACTGGGATTTTTTTTTTCACACGGATGAAAGAAACCGCTTTAAAAATTACTTTTTTCCATATTACTTTTTAATAAAGAAAAGCAGCAAGTCTTTTCCTGTCAGTTTTGGTCGAACGAAGTTTCACAGAAAATGAATGAAGTTGATTTTTCAAAATTAATACCTCTTCTCACACTTTGCCATGTTACAGTAAACCTTCAGTCTGAGAGCAAAGTGTTCTGTTAGGAACATGCGGAATAGTCAAATCGCTGACGTATAACTTCTTATTAATAAAAATAATGATGGAGCTGATTATATGTGAAAAGAAGAATCTTAAACTCTATTCTGGATTTAACAAGGAGTCAATGAAAATAAGCTAAAGTAGGAGAAATACGATCTGTCTTTTTAACTTTAATTTTGTAGAACTTAATTTAACAGGGATTAGGGCTTCTCTTCAAGCTTTGGACATGTAGACTAAAATTTTTGCCAGTTGATTGCGAAAAGGATCTTTCGTAGTTAAATTGAATGTAAATGCATCTATAGATATCAATCAACAGATTTTCAATTAGCTGTATGTCTGGACTTTGACTAGGTCATTCTAACTCATGGATATGTCTCGGTTTTGGCAGAAGGCCGTCTCTTGGTGTAGTTGGAGTTGAACTGTACTTGAACTGCTTTCAGATGATGAACTGAATTCTGCTGTGTAAGATCTCCAAAGATTGGGATGTTGTTTAAGAATTTAACCTCACAATGAATCGCTCAAGAACTGATGCTCTCTAACAAACCTTTAAGCCATTTGCTGGTCCGGCTGGAGCGCAGCCACCACTGGACTGCCGTGAAACCGTATACAAAAAGATTTGTATCACTCTGTGAACTCTAATGGAAAATGGTTCCTCTGGATTTTATTTAAGAGTTTAAGATTGCAAAAACTGAGAAAATTAAACAGTTATGAATAGCTGAAAACCTGAAAATTACAACCTTACGTTTATATTTTCAGCAAGAACTTGGACTTTTCCTAAAAAAATTAAGAAAACAGTCTGTCTATAAACGCTGCACCTCCCAGCTTCATTCTTCATCAAAGACAGCCATTCCTTTTGCATTGGACACCAAGATCAATCAGGTTTCTCTTTTTTTTTTTTTCCTTTTTCTTTCATTTTGTCAGCCCTTTGCACAGGCTGCTAATGGCTTCCAGGAAAAGCTTTACGATTCAAAGGCATGCAGTGCTTCTCATGATAATCCCGAAGCACCGGCAATCGGTTTACTGGTGATAGCCTGACCGCTGGTCCGGCTGGAGCGCAGTCACCACTGGACTGCCGTGAAGCCGAGTCAATTTGCCAGTCCCCGGGGTGAAAGAGAGATTCAAGTTTGCGCGACAAGTCATCAGTGTCGTTTTAACCCAGCGCTGTCACACTGAGAAGAAAGAGACTTTAGAAGAATTCTGGGGGGTTTTGCTCCTGCTGTTGTGCTCACAGGGTCATGGGTCAGAATCGATATGCCATTACAGGGCTTCAGAGCAGATTGAATCCAGGAGCACTGCTTAGCTGATGCTATGTGGGGAAAAGGCTCGGGACGGGGAAGAGTAGGAGGTGGGTGCAAGGGTAATAGGATGGGAGAAAAGTATTTTTGGGGGGCTTTTAAAGAGCTGCTATTCCATGGCAAATTAAAAAGCCATTATAAAGATTACATGGTGGCAAACAATGTCAGGCAGATTAGCATTTAGAATGTGGCTGAGGGAGACACTGAGGAACACAGAAAGGTCTGGTAATGAGCTCTGGCTTGGTGATTGGGGAGATTATGATTATGAATATGATTCCCTTCTTTATTCTTGTAGGAGTACTTTAAATTCAGGGGGTCAAACAATAGCGTGGAGAACACAATGGAGAGTTTTTTTTGGAGTAATAGAATCCTTGAGTGGACATTTCATCCAGTGAAATGTAACAAAGGGATTTAAACGCGACTCCTGTTGTTCCTTTCTTCTGGCCTGGACAGCCTCAAAGTGCAGAAATTTTCCATCTGGCTTCATCCACTCTCCTAAAAGTAAAACTTGTGGAGTCTCGCAGTTCAAATGGGATATATTTTATTTATTTATTTATTTATTTATTTATTTATTTATTTATTTATTTATTTTTTGCCTTCTTTGCTGTCTTTTCTACAAAATTCTACCATTTACTTCAAGGCTTTCTTAGCCTCTTTATTATAAACAAATGAATTCACTTCAGGTAAATTGTATTTTTGTTTCTCTTCTCTGTGTTCCCCAAAACAGTAAACATGTAAACAAATCATCAAATCATTCAGATCTTAACGTCCTGAAAAAGTTATGAAGGTTTGGCTTTTTTTCTAATTTCCTGTGGTTCCAAGCTGTGCTGCATTGCCAGTGCTAATATTTTTAGAAAAATGTAGAGATTCAGTTCCAGCTATATTTTTTTTTTCCTTCTCTGCCTGAAAACAGTCAAACTGACCCAGTGGTTCACAGTTTTAGGAGCTACAGTGGATTTTTGTATCTGCTACTGCAGCACAATGCTAATATTTATGAGTACTAAAACTATTTACCTACTCAAATTGGAGATTCAAGCTCATTTGTATTTATTCCTGTATATATATATATATATATATATATATATATATATATATATATATATATATATATATATATATATATATATATATATAATTGCCTTACTTTTGGATCAATTGTTTTGCTTTCTGTTTGTTTGCATTTTAAGTTTTTTTAATGCCATTTGTCAGATTATTATTATTATTATTATTATTATTATTATTATTATTATTATTATTATTATTATTATTATTATTGTTCAAAACTAATTTATTGATAAGAATCAACTCGCCCAAATGATAATTAGTAACAGAAATAATTGTCAACAGAGGGCAATTCAAAGTTTCTAAAATAATATCCATGATTCCTTACAAAGCTGAAATGCAATGAAAAATAAACTAAGAACAACGACTGAAGTACACAGGTATGAAATGTTTGTTTGGAAGTAGAAGGGACAAAATAGCATTGCATAAGTATGAAGGCGGGTTATTCTCTAATCAATCAACAGACCATAAACAATTTTCTAAAATTTATCAAAGCCGGGACAGCCTCTATGAGGAGAAATTTTAAATTTTGCCACATGCATTCTTTTAAATGTGAAACTTCTTGAACACTGTGAACTAAAGTCGGTCTTGCTATTTTAATAGCATAATTTCCCTTTTTTTCTTCCTTGCTGACTTTACCACAAATTGGACTGAAAACCGAGATTGATGTGTCACTGCCCCTGCTTGTTAGTCTAACGCAAGCGTGCTGGTTACAAAAAAATAAGCACATCCATTACAAACAGCCACTCCTGTCCTTCCCTTTGCAGAAAGCTATCAGTACACAGTGCTGGAGTCGCTACCAGTGCAATCTGTGGTGGCCAGAATCAAAGCGGCAGACGCTGATATCGGCTCCAACGCGGAAATGGACTACAGGATCATGGACGGTGACGGGCCCGGGATGTTCAATATAACAACAGACGAGGACACACAAGAGGGGGTTATTATCCTGCAAAAGGTAGAGTTTGGAAAATAGACATATTTTCACAAAATAAAAAACTGTCAGTTTTCTATGTATGGCCGTAGCAGATACATAGCTTTTAGAAGTTTTTTTTTTTTTTTTTTTTTTTTTTTTAAAAAAAAATTTTTTTTTTTTTTTTTGGTTTTTTTTTTTTGTATTGGATTCCCCCAGGGTTATA